TTAGGTCTTAATCTTAATTATTTTAGTTTATTGGTGTTATTCTCTACTACTTTATGCTTTAGTATATACTCGATTTTGAATCTGATTTCGATAAACCAAGTGTGACATTGCAATATGAAGATTAACCATTAGGATCACGTTAGAATTAAATTGGATTTAAACCACATATCTTCCAATTAGAGTGCCAAGATGAAAGCCTCTAATTGTGTTTTAAAAATGGAATAATTGATGTGATTGATCCGATCCGATTGAGAGAATTCCGACGCTTTACTATCTCATTCATTGACTTTAATTTCCTTATTTCCAAAGATTAATCTCGATTCCATGACAAGCAAATCTATTTCCTATAATTCGTCAGAACAACCATCCTCTTTGGAACCCTTGATAATTTTTCCATCTCCCTATAGATACGACACCCCAAATTCTGTACTACAACTACCGCATTATTCTTTGGGAGTAATTAAATTTTAAAAGTCTGCAAATAAATAAATAAATAAATGAAATGCTAAAGACCGCTACTACAATTATCCCTATAGATAAAATAGTTTATAAACACTTTCTATACACACTTTTTTTATTGAAGATGTATACAAATAAAATGGATGGTCAAAAGAAAATTGGCATACATCAATTTTAAAGAAATAACTAAATTTTATCTATATGAGATGAGGGTCACAAGTACATGTCTTCTACACACGATAAGAAGGTCTAATACCAAATTATTCAAAAGTAGTTGTTTTCAAGTTTTTAATGCTTCAACAGTTCAACTAACACCTTTTTCTATTTTATTTTGCGAATTATTCTTTTTTGCCCACATTAAAAATATATAATTTTGAAATATTATACATCGTTTTTCACAAATTAAATACCATATATTCGCATTTTAGCATTTAACAATTGTATACACTGCCATTATTATTTTACTTATCATGTAAAACGACTCATCGATAATTAATGTTGAAACTTTCTTAAACGACTTGTTCGTTTCGCAATTATTTATGAGGAAGTATGGACCGTTTCAACGAGGTTAGGTTATGGAAGAATAAATAACGAGATCTTACTTTAGGAACAAGCATAACATGAAATCGTAAAAACTTTTTTCAATTTTTTTTTTACATTTCATTTTCTTAATTTATGCAATTAATTATTATTTAGCTCAAATTTTATCGACTAGTAAAAGATAAAAAAAAAATATATATATATCATTCTTTAAAAGAAAAGGAATATGTATTGTCCCACAATATTGACTTTTGCCAAAATAAAAATTGGTTTTATTGTTGAAATTAAAGTTTTTAATTAATTGATATTTTTTAACATCAGAAAGGGTTTTTTTGGTCAACATTAACCCCCTCATGTCACTTTCCATTTAAGTAACAGATATCTTTGGATAAGAACCATATTATAGATTTCTTGTTGTACAATACTATGCTATTTACTTTAATAATTAATCACTCGTTTGTGATGACTTTTGCTTTTACTTTCCGTAGAAGAGTTTTCTAAGAAAGTTAACTAAAAATAATTTATAAAAGAATTTCATATTCTAAAAGTGTTTTTAAAGGAACTCTCATTGAATCAATTTCATAAAATTAGTCAAATGGTTTCGAAAGCCGTCTTTGGATTTCAAAAGTTTCTTTTGACTTTTCAAAAATTATTTCAAACAGACCATTAGCTCGTATTTGACCTTTATTATTTAATACTCATTTTTAACCACACATTTTCATCAGACTTCAAATTTTATCAAATTTGCAATTACATATTTCATTAATTTTATCAAAAGTTACTAAAAATATAATTTTTAGCTAAATCAAATAGGGACTAAAACTTATTTAATTGGTAAAACTTAAAAGAAATTGAATAAGTCAGTCCATCATCCATTTAATGAATAATCGCCATCTGATTTTCCCTTCAAAATTTTAATTCAACGAAACTATTCATTAAAGTCTTGATTTTTTTTTTTAAAGTATCAACTTCGCCCCTAATCCTGAGCTTCACAGGTTCTAGAAAATGAGCACTGTGGGCTTACTTCTCCACCAAATTTTATCAAATTGAGTTGGATCGAATTATTCTTAAGTTTCGGGTACTAGTGCTAAAAATTGCTTGATTTGATCTATTTCTCGATTCTCAATTCTGGTCCTAGAATTGAAAATCCTGAAATGATTGGAACTTAGGCACTATTTGTTTCGGATTAAAATCAGATTTTAATCCAAGTCAAAGTCAAACAATCAATATTAACCACATTTTTCATGAATCACACAACTTTTCAACCACACATTTCAAAAATTTATATCACAATCTACTAAAAATCTAATTTTAATCCCCACCAAACACCTACTTAATGTCTTTGTTCGATCATTTATGGATCCTTAGTTCACATTTTAACCAAAATTCTCTCGTTATTGTTATAAAATTTTATCTATAAGAATCTCATTGTTCTCAACTGATCATGTTCTTCGACAAATAGTCAACGTTTGACGTGTCAATTGTTTAAATGGACGCAAGCTCTTAAGAAAAATCAATTTGTTATTTCTAAAGTAATTTTTATCTATCGAGCATCACCCCTTTGGGTTGATACTCTCAAGTTACTAAGATTGACTTTAATCCTTGGCCAATAATACATCATGCAATTAAGCTATTCTCTTTACCATTATACTCTCGTAACTCTCTCTAGTCTCTAGGATCGATCTCTCTTCGGCAAAAAGAAACTAAGTCCCTGTTTTACATTCATTTCTTATTTTTTATCGAACTTATTTTTAATCACACATTTTACCTTATTCATAATTTTTATTAACCTTTATCGAAATGGACTTAAAATTTATTTTCAACTTTTGAATTGTTTTTTCTCTACGGACAATACAAGATTCTTTCATGGATTAGTTTTTGACCAAAAAACATGAATCTTGTCAGGTGTATAACGACATTCACTGCTTCATAATCACTTTGTCAAAATACAGCTTGCAATTCATCTTTTGCTTTTATCAAAGCTGCTTTACTGAAAGTATAATACGTCACCGTATTTGTATTTCCATACCAAATACTCCGCCATTTTTAACCTGTCCCCCACTCTGAACTATGCATTAATCGCAAACGGAAAGCGAAAATTCATTGCAAAAAAGTAAAATAATGTCGGGAATTGGGTTCTAATTAATGTTCCCTCCAAATCCAAATCTCCCCTTTTCTTGGAAACCCCAAAATTTCAGCTTTTTCTTTTTCTTTTCTTTTCTTATGAAACCAACAAATTTAAAGAAAATTGGGATTCTGTTCCGTTATGTGTTGTTGCATTTGCATCTTGAAGTTTAAGATGCGTTCTTCTGTTTGAAGTAGAACCCACATCTTGATTTCCCTGATTATTTGCATAAATTTCTTTATAAAATAAAGGAAAGTCCAATTTTTATTTATTAATTTGTGGTTGGTTGGGGTGATGTTTGCATTAATGATCTGGGGTTTTGTGAACTTCAAGATTTGAGTTGACTTTTGGGGTTTTGCTTATTCATTTTCCTGTTTAGCAGATTAATTCTTGGTGGCCTGCAAAAAATATAGGTAAAATAATCTTTTAAAAAAATCAAGATTCAGTTTTGGTGAAGTATTTGAAACAGAAAAATGGCAGAAGCGGCAAAAGTAAGGCTCGTGCGTTGCCCCAAGTGTGAAAATCTCCTCCCTGAGCTCCCAGATTACTCTCTTTACCAGTGTGGTGGCTGTGGTGCTGTTCTCAAAGGTATAATATATGCACAAGTGTGTGTCTTTGTGCGTGTTTTGTTGGACTAAGTGGAGCCAAATCATACTCAGGATTGTTTAGATATATTTTCGATTCAAGGATCTATACATCTTATTCTCTTTAGTGAAAATAGTGGGTGGACATAGCTTTCACATTGAGCGCAAATTACTTCGCGAATGTCTGTGCTTTGCTAATTTCTGTTGTTTTTTACTTATTATTGCTCTAGAAAGCAAGAATTATGGTTTAATCCTTGACCAGTTTTTTATATGCATTTGTAATCAAAGAAGTACCCTGTATCTTCGTGTATATATTAGACAACATACAGATATCATATGGTTATGTAATGAATTCTAATTGCAGATTCTATGTGCCTAATAAACTGGATATTATATGTGTTTGTTCAATCATCACGAAGGTGTTAAAACTGAAAGATTTATGGTTATGATTGTTTGGATAGAAAGAGTGGTCTTGAGTGAAATTTGAAATCTTGTTATGGTTGCTTCTGATGGTAAAGCCAAAAAAGTAATATGATGCTCCTATATTAATTTAATCACGTTTATGAACAGAACAATTCAAAATGATAATCAAGACATAATATTTATGATGTTTGGACTGATATGCATGTGAAGTTGTAAAATTTTATTTGTTAATTATGGTTGGTTTAATGATACAGCTAAAAAGAATGGGCTTATGGAAGATGGGTTGTCAGAGATATCTGATGATGCGAAAGGTGTAGAAATTTCCGAGAAAGGTAGCATGCTTAATGTTTCTGAGGTGGGTGTTGAAAGTAGTGTGGGAATTGAACATAATAGAACAAATGAGAGAAATGATATCGACAGAGTGGTTTTAAATGGTAGTCCCACAACAGGAACAGAAAATAAGGAAGTACCATTCAATTCCCGTGTGAATAGAAAAGAAAGAGACAGAACTAGAAGAGCAGAATATTTTGATGAAGAGTACAGCTCTTCTGCAGAGGGTATGATTAACGATAGGAATCAGGGTAAAGACAGTGGCATGGACATGAAAAAGCCGATATATTCTAATTTTCATAGTGAAAATGAGATTGATGAAATTGGGCCTCCAATGAGATCATTGAGGTCTAGGCCTGCTATGGACACGTGGAGCCTGGAAAGAAATCAATCCGTGGCTTCTTCAGCAAACACCAGAAGTGTAGCCCCACATGGGAGGTTTGATAGTTCTCTGTATCGTGGTGAGAGGCCATCGAGCTATGACATGGACTCTTATTATAGATATGGTGAGAGGACAAGATATCAGGATCATGATGTGGATGGGTTAACTAGAGTTGAAAATTTAGAGAATGATCGGGCTGAGCTCCTACGGAAACTAGATGAATTAAAGGATCAACTAACTAGATCTTGTGATTTAGCAGAAAAACCTAATGATAGACTTGGTACTGATAGAAGGATGCCTCCAACTCCACCCGATCCTTATGGTAGACATCATGCTGCATACGTGCAGGAAGGCTTGGCTAGTTCGCATGGTGTTAACCAACAACCCCTTGGTCCCAGTGATTTGAAAACCTTGTATTCAAGTTACAATCGTGGACGCATTCCTCACATGGATAAATTTGGTTCAACAATGCAAGACTCGTATCCTCAAAGGAACTTCCCACCCGAGTTCTTGGGGTATGGTGATATTTATCAGCCAGAAATGCTCCATGGGCCTCCTAGTCAGCCGCCACCTAAACTTTTGCAACGGCCATCTCATGAGCACCATCCAGGTCACTACATGGATATCAATCGCAACCTTTTCGCGTCACATCCACATGAAACCTTTTTTCACCAGCCTGCATGTTCTTGTGTGCACTGCATTAACAATAACTGGCATTTGCCTCCTAAAATTCATCAAAGGTCTCGAGACGACCCCAATCTTCTATACCATCCGAATCCTGCTTTGCAACGTCCCCAGGGTTATAGATCTGAAGGGTCCAATTCTCATCAAATGCATTCTCGACATCCCCTAACAATGAGTTCAAATAATGCTGATTTTGAAAATGGCGGTTTAATGTACCACCGTCCTAAAAAGTCAGTGGTAGCCCATGGGAATGGACGAACATGCAGTCCCATTGCAGGTGGTGCCCCTTTCATAACATGCTGTAACTGCTTTGAGTTACTGAAACTGCAGAGGAAGCACGTCTCAATGGTGAAAAACCAACAGAAAATAAAATGTGGAGCTTGTTCTTCCATAATCTTGTTTGAGCTTGGGAACAATGGGATTATTATTTCAGTCCTTCCAAACATTGACCAAGTTCAATCTGACACTGAAAATGGTTCTACTGGGACACTGGATGAAAATTTTAATTATTCGCATGGTGATTGTGGGGAAAATGCTGTTGATATGGACCCCTGCTCTAATGCTTATGACGACTCCGAACCCAAGTACTCTCCAAGAGACAAAAAGTCAAATTCTAGCGAGTCTGGGAAGCGGCAGGACCCTCTTTCTCTATCTTCCAGTTTCTCTGAGAATGAGCAGAGACTGGACATTGTAAATGCTAGAAAAGATGTTTCTCCTAGTGCTGAGTTGCCTTTTAAAGAAGTCAGGTCTTGCCCAGTTTCTGATTCACTTCCTCAGGAATGTCCTGATCATTCTTCTGCTAATAATATGGTCAATCGATATGAAAAGGGTAACAAAAGTAAACGATATGACCAGGAGAAGGTTTGCCTCGATAAGCTTACGTCTCGACAGAATTCTGTAAAAGATGCACCTGTAGCAACTGAGATGGACGTATCACTGAATGCATTTTCAAATACCAGTGTATCACAGGACTCGTTGGACACAAGTAAAGAAGATCAACCAAGGATCAATAAAGGGGGTGAGTCGTTCTTCGTGGGTCTCATCAAAAAGAGCTTCAGAGACTTCTCAAAGTCTAATCAAAATGTAGAGGATAGAAGATCGCAGGTTTTTGTCAATGGGCATTTTATACCAGATCGTTTAGTTAAGAAGGCTGAAAAGCTAGCTGGACCTATTCAACCTGGAGGGTACTGGTGAGTACATGGACACAAGTTTGTGGCTCCTTTTATATGGACTAAATTTGCATCTCTGAGTTCATCATTTATGTAGTGAATCCTGTTTCCGTATATTTATCAAAAGAAAAAAAGAACCCTTCTGCTATAGATTTCAATATAAATAGAATAATGCTACTTGCAGTCGCTCGCTGCAGCAGTCGCCCTATGTGGCACGCACATGTCAAGTGTGTATTTGATGCATTAAATGTAGTAAAAAACTATCACATTAATGCATCAAATAACTACATGCCATGTGTGTGCCACATAGGGCGACTGCTGCAGTGAGCGACTGCAAGTAGCATTACTCATATAAATATCTCAAATACAGCATGCTGAAAAATGAATTATTTGAAAGACACTAATGTTGGTTTACTTTTCCAACTACACACCTCCCCGCACTTCTCTCTACGTCCCCCACTTCTTTCTTTCCACTTAAATAATATATCTTCTGATATCAGAGAATAATTTTGTAGCTATATTGTGCACTCTTGTGATTAGTGGCAGTGATATTGTCTTTTTTTACCGGAAACACTAATGGAGGTTTTTTCAAATTCTATGATAAACCAGGTATGACATTCAAGCTGGATTTTGGGGTGTGATGGGACATCCTTGTCTTGGGATTATCATGGTGAGTCAATTAATATCTGATGCATAATACCCTTTTCCTTGAAAAGAACTTTATTTCATATCTTGTTGTATTATTCAAGAAAAGAAATGTAGTAACGATTTCCATTACGCTGGAACATTAATGTCATGCAGCCAAATATTGAGGAATTCAATTACCCTATGCCAGAAAATTGTGCTGCTGGAAACACAGGGGTTTTTGTAAATGGGCGTGAACTTCACCAGAAAGATTTAGATTTACTTGCTAGCAGAGGTCTTCCAATCACAAGACACGGGTCTTACATCGTTGAGATTTCTGGGAAAGTGATGGATGAACACACTGGTGAAGAACTAGATGGCCTTGGCAAACTTGCACCAACGTAAGTTTTTCTCCTTTTTTGTCATAAATTGTACTTAGTGTTCTCCTATTTTTTATATTCAAGGAAGAAAATACTCGCATACAATTCATATCATATTGATTCATTTACTAACAATTAAGTCTTAATGAATGCACAAGTATAGGTAAGATTTACGTGCAAGGGTAACAGGTTTTCCTCTCTGCATCCTTATATTTTATCACATATGAATAGCAATACTATTGATCTTAATACTATGATTATGTTTAAGTCCAATTCATATTTTAGTAATATTTGCCTGTTGTCTTCTGAGAATTCGTCAATGGTATAGAGAATGTACAAGTCCCAGTTTAGGTTTTAATTTCTGTAGTTAATAGTAGATTTTGGACTTCTGTCTTCAGGATATCAGTATGAAGAAGTTAGGGAGAAATTTTTATAGTTCTTTTAATTACGGAAGCAATTTTGAGTTTTTTTAGATCCGTTGAAAATTTGTATATTCACTGTCCTTTCGGTTAATTTGCTATTTTATTCTATTCCTTTTAGAAGTTCTACTTAACTTTGGCATTCATTGCTCTAGCATTAGGCATAATTTTTAGATGAGTTTTGATGAACATCCATTGTGTCTTTTTAGAAGTTCTATTTATAAGTACCTTTTTTGGAAAAAAATGTCTCTACGTACTTATGAAACAAGGTACGCAGCCAAACAGGTTCATATCAATTCTATAAACAACGCATTCTTTCCCACCAAGCAATTTCTACACGCATGTCCTAATGATTATTGAAATGTGAACAGGGTCGAGAGAGAGAAGCACGGATTTGGTATGAAAGTTCCCAGGTTTCTTGCGCAATTGCAGCGCTAGTTGCAGATGCTTGATGAAGTAACGATTATATTCAGGCAAGTGGTTGATCTTCGAGGACTTGATTTGGTGGCTACATTCTATGCAAAGTGGTACATGTTGTGAAAACTCGTTTGTTGTTTGCTGTATTTGAAAATTTTTCATTCATATATTTGTTTCCATGTTTTGGATGCTTTTGCTTTGCTAGAGAAAGTGCAATGGCATGGTCTTGTTAATTTGCTTTGGTTTTGGTTTTGGCTTGTGCAAATGGCGAGATATGGCCCTGTTTGTTTCTGATTAAAATCATATTTTAATTTAAGTTATAGTCAAACAATCAATATTAACCACATCTTTTATGGGTCCCACAACTTTTCAACCACACATTTCAAAGACTTATATCATAATTTACTAAAAATTTAATTTTAATCTCCACCAAATGCCCATTAGGTAAACTTTTTTCTCCACGAATTTGTGATTAATTGCTAGAAGAGATGTCAAAATGAGTCGAATATCTGAGATTGACACATAGTGAGTATGGCAATCATGACTCTTGGTATAGATCGGACTGGCCTATGAAACGTATATAAAAACTTTTTAAAACTTTTGAATATGTCAAAATGAGTATTTAACCTATACTTTTAGAAACTTCTAGAGATTTAAAAAGTTTAGGTGTATTCAATATAAATGTTTTAAGATTACATAAATATATATCTCAATTTGTATCCATAAGCTCTAATATTTTGGATGACTTTCACAAGAGAAAAAAATTCTTTTTATATGTATTATTTTTGTCCTCTTTATATTTCATTTTTTCCTTTCCTTCTACGAATCCTAGAACTTTTTAAAAAATTTATTATCGTTCTTTTTCTCTTCGGAATATATTTGTTCTCTTTTTCTTCTCTCTTTTTTAAAATCATTTCTCCTCATTTTCTATCGAATTGTACTTATATTGATTAGCTGTTTACTTTTGAAAGGTCTAACATATTTATAATATTGAACATTAGATTTTTTTTTTTCTTTTTTATCAATGTATTACTTAAATCTTATATATATATTTTTGTATTTTGATTATTTACTTAGATATTTCTTTATTTTTTGTTATCAAAGAATACTATAGTATTATATATGTTTTTTGTATTTTGATTAGTTATGTATTTAATTGAGGTGACTTAAATTTTTTATTCTTTAAAAAAATATTTTGATTATTTACATCTACCTCCTAAGGAATGTTATTTTAAATGAAAGTTTATCAAAAGTCAAATGAATTCTATAAAAAAATTAAAATGAAATTTTCATACAAATATATAAAAGTTCATCACTTAAAAAAAATCTACAATTTTTTGTTGTTGTAAGTTTAGAATGAATAGACGACTCTCTTCTCATCTCACCACTCATATTGAAGTTGGCGGATTGATTTATATTGATGGTTCAAACCCATACATATAGTACAAACTTCAACTTCAATGGGATGCAGCTTCGATCAACTTATGTATTATTTTAAAATTAAAAGTGACTCTAGTTTACGATCAGATGAATGAATTGTGCAGAGCTTTACTAGAGTTGGTTTGATTGTTTTAATTATGGCCGAGTATTTTGAGATATTTTTAATTATCAACAATTATCTTTTATTCCATCCTTGCAACATTCAAATTATCGACTTTTTTTTGAGTAGAATGCCGTTTGCTTTCGATTAGTTAGATATATTGTATATGATCAATCCAAGTCGTTTTCGTAATATATGTATATTAGAATTGAAAAATTAGTCGTTATTGTTGACTTTTATTAGACGAGTGAGACTCAATAACGACTATATTTTCCATTGTAATTGAATTTTAGGCTTAGCCAAACATGCTCTAAGAATTTGTTTTTAACAATTTAATATTTATTTTCTTGACGACTTGACCCATCAACTAAACTTCACTTCATGGGCCAATTAATTATCTCATGATCTTGACTCATCAACCGATAACAAAGAGTAGTTTATTTATTTGTTTTTATTATTGTATTATTTTTTGGTCATAATATTTTATTTCTAGAGGTGAATACTTATATACTTTATAAATATTGGTCAATGTTTGGCAAGATTAAATTAAAGTGATTATGATGATAGGTAAATGTTTATTTGATTTAGATCAAAATGAGATTTTAAATAAATTTTAATTAAAAAAATTTGATGAAATGTGTGTTAAAAATTTGTGGATCCAATAAAACGTGTGATTGAAATTAGTTGTTGACTTTGATTTATAATTAATTTTGTTTTTTAATTAAATCAAACAAGGGCTAAATAATAATTGTGATTTCCATAAAATTCATATATTAAAAATAATTTTGACTAAAAGTTCTATAATTTGATTAAGGGTAATTGGCACAATACTCCTATGATTTGCTCGTTGTGTGGAATACCCCGTATCATTTTATTTCGCAAAACCCTCCTCTTATGGTTCACACATTGCAGATTTCCCCGATCTCCAAATCTGTTAAGTTCTTCACTAAAATGAACTTCGAAGGCCAAAATGATTAAAAAAAAAAGGACATTTTTGTCTTACGTCTCCACGTATTTACTTATTTCAAGGTTGTACTTCGCAAAGTTTATGAAATTCGAAGTTGTATTCCGCAAAACTTGTCAAATCGAGGATTGTATTTCGCAGCATATACCAATTTCAGAGTTGATTTACACACGAACAACATTTGAACATGTCTACTTAATATAGAAGATGCGCATCAACATTTCAAACGAGCAGCATAACCAAATCGAAAATGGCTAAAAGGGAAATGAAATCATACCGAGTCCTATCCCAGGTTGAAATCAACCAATCATACCAATTTCATACCCAATTTCACTATCGTTAAACACAAGGAATTGAGGGAAAAAAGAGGCAATTTCTCCCTCTAAATCAAATCCAATTTCTTCTTCTTTGCTTAATCCTAGTATTGTAAGCAAATTTAATTTCTCTTATAAATTAGCTTCAAATTTCTTCCATTTTCATATCTCATAATGAAATCCACTCAAGAAAATCTTGTTTTTTATAATCTGAGTGTGGAGATGATGAAACAAAAACGTCCTTGATGTTTATATTGATTTTGGCCTTCAAAATTCATTTTAACGGAGAACGTATCAAGTGTGGACAATAGAAGGATTTTTCTCAAAGTTTAGGCCATTTTGGAGAATTTTGTACCAAAATGAAAGAATAGAGGGTATTTCACAAAATAGTCAAAAGTTAGAGGATATCATGCCAATTATCCTTTGATTAAGGTATCTAAAACTATTAAAATTAGCTTTCTTTAACTACCCTAAACATTTCGTATAGAAATCAGTGCGATTCGTTTCTTTGCTCTTGTCGGTTCTCGTCATATTAAATAGGGACTAATTTCACTATTACTCCCCAACTTATGGCCTAAATAACGTATTAATCCTGATTCATTCATTTTCAATCACGTATCTTTTGGATTCAGATTTTTTCTTAATTCACATGTTTAATTAATTTTTATCAAAATCTCACTTTTATTTAAATAAAAAAGGACTAAAATTTAATTCATATAAAAAATAAATTAAAGAGTGGGTTGGAGCCTAATTTTTAAGGGAATTGTTATTTGTTCACCACAGCTGATAAAAAAAATCGTGAACCCTTATTGTGAGGGGGCTGTACACCGAGGTGTCAGCTGACACCTAAGTGTACACATAACAAAACCCAAACTTTAAGGATTTTTATTTTTGAAATAAAAAGCATATTATCTTTATCAAGTCTTTTGAGTATGTTCTTAGATTGACCTAAAAATGTTACGTGAGACATTATAATTTATCGAAAATTTAGATGCATTTTGATAATTGAAACTAATTGAAGAATTGTTACTTTGTTCAATTAAAAAAAAAAATAGTATCTCAATTCTATTGATTAATGTGAAAGTGACTTCATTGCCATTAAATTAGGTTGATGTTGCTAGATAACATTACTCGATAATGAAAGTTTAGGGAAAACTTTTTTACATTTTAGAGGTCGAGCGTTAATTAACTTATTAGGACAATATGTCAGGGACCAATGGTGCAATTTTCTGTATATAAATCACGGAAGCAAAGCTTGGTGACTGCCATCGCCTGAGTAACGATTGAATGGGAGAGAGTGAAAAAAGCTTAAAACTGAAAGATAAGAGTGGAAAATGGTGAAGAAAATGCTTTACAATTGGAAATATTGGTGGAGATCTCTTCACAACCACAATTACTTTATAATCAAATTGGGCGTTTCAATTCTTTTAGTGGGTCTTGCATTTAGGCTTCTCTACACTCGATCCACTGGGTTTTCTCCAATTTCAGACACCCCACTTCTTGATAATTCCCGGATTTCACCACCTGTTAGTCCTCTAATTTCTCAAGAAAATACAGATGGATTTCCTCCCGAAGGTCAGATCTTTTTGCTTTCTAATTCCCTCTATTTTCCTTAATTTTAATTGGATGTCATATATATATGAGAATTGAAGTGAGGTGGAAAAGTATTGATGAACAAGAGGTTACTGTAATGGTGATCTTATAGTAGTTTGAGATCTGTAAAGAAAGTAAAATAAGTTTTGTATTGGTTTAAAGCACGTTTGGCTCAGGTTGAAAGGGCGTTACTTTACTCATAAATTAAGTACTTCACTTCTTTTCAGCTTTTAAGCGTAGTGTTGATGGAATTATGCAGTAAGTTGTACAGTGAGCCTTAATTTATGTTGAGGTTGCGTTTGGTGCTCTGTATGGACAATATTAGGTGGATGATGAATTATGGTGGATAATATTGTTTTATTTTTTAGTCGAAAAAATGTCATTTGCACTATAACATAATGTGGAGGGTGGAGATGATTTTAGACCAGATAAGATAACTAGTATATATTACATTTATTGGAGATGGTTTTAGACCAAATAAGTTAACTAGTATACATTTAATTTATCAACGAATATTATCCCTTAATCAACCATAGTACCATAAGCCTATTATTATCTATTCTAATGTCATACTGAGTTTTTTATACAGTCTAATACAGTCACCAAACTCAACGTGAATCTCATGGTTATAGTAATGAAATTAGTCTTCATTTCAGATAAGAATTTCTATTTTTGTTGAATGCAGTATATAAGTTTATGATGGGTTATTGTTCTGCTTAGATATGTTCATTGGCTTGTTTTTGTTGTCTTGCTAACAATCATAGATTGATCTGCTGCTGTACTAGACCGCTTGAATGGTATGATCCCTTCGTCACCCCCTGGAAGAGATGATTTTATAGTTCTTGGTTTGTGAATGTACATTGTTTGGTGTTATTTGTCCTATTAAGATGTCATTATAAGATTGCGAATTTGGTTATGGATTAAAAGTTGTTGATTCGTATACTACAGATGATGCTGGAAAGTGTAATATTTTTATCGGGGATTGGATTCCTTATCAGGGAGAACCCATCTACACAAATGAGAGTTGCAGCTTCATCGATGCCCAGCAGAATTGTATGAAGAATGGGCGGCCAGACACTGGTTATCTCCATTGGAAGTGGAATCCCCGTGGTTGCAAATTGGCTCGATTTGATCCAGATAGGTTTCTTGAGTCGATGAGGAATAAAAGTTGGGCACTGATTGGTGATTCAATATCACGAAATCACATCCAGTCATTGTTATGCATTCTCTCAACGGTAAAATTGGAAAAGATGTTTCTGTCATTGATTCACTGTCTTGTCTTGATAATTTTGCAAATGCTATGTATTTGCCTCAAGGCAACAGCATGAGTGTAGATAATGCATAGAGTTACTTTCTGCTGTGTTTCTCTTGTTACATTTTCATTATATACAGCCTCTTTATCTTTTGCGATTCAGAGATTTTTTCCTTCTGGCTTGTTCAGTTATGTCGGTTAGGTGGACTAGAAAGTTCTCGATAGTATTGAAGTAGAAAGAGAGAAAAAAATCTTTTTTATTTTAATGCCCCTTTTTTATGGAGGGGGAAGGTGAGGTGGTTTATAAATACATTCTTCACTAAGATTATTGTTATTAGGAGGCTTGTAATGCATCAAAACTATTGCTCGTCTGTGCTATTTTTTGCCATCGTCCTTACCTGGAACTATTTTGACAGCCAAGTTTTATTGTTCGGTGGTCGAACTTCTCTGGCTTACCTTGTACTTTAGGGGTGCAAGTATCAAACTTTGGAGTAATTGATTTCTAGCAGAGGGCAAAGAATTTGCTGCATTTGTGTATATCAGAAATTGCCTAGGCTCCAAATGTTTTAAAAAAGGAAAAATTAAATTCCAGGATTGCTTTGGAAATTTACATGTAGTATAATATAGCTAGATTCTTTTCTTTCTTTAATTATTCTTGAAATTGTTCCATTATCGTATCTTGAGACGTGAGCTCGTTTTCTCTGGATTTAGTCAATCTTGAACATAACTTTATTATCTTATCTTTATTTGACTTCAAGTGCCTCAACTGATGAGGATACTCGGTGATATTTTTTCGTGTATATTCTCAAAGGGGACATTAAAAAGTAGTTTAAAACTTTTCCTATTCCGAGCCTTATGTTGTTTACTTTGTAATTCATCTGATTTGTCTAGCAATTAATCTAGTGCCTGACTGGATTGGCAGTAATTTAAATTCCAATAACATATCATGTTGCAATCAAAAATGTTATTCTGCAGTCACGTGCCATTGACATTAAGCTATTTTGCCTGCAGATAGAAAAGGCCGTTGAAGTTTACCATGACGAGGGATACAAATCGAGACAATGGATTTTCCCCACATACAACTTCACCATATCAGTTATTTGGTCCCCTCTCCTTGCAAAAGCCGCCATTTTTGAAGACATGAATGGCGTTTCAACATCTGAGATTGAACTACATCTCGACATTCTTGACATGAATTGGACTAAACAGTACCAGAACTTTGATTACATGATAATTTCTAGTGGTAAATGGTTCGCCAAAAATGCAATCTACTATGAGAACAACAAGGTACTAGGTTGCCACAACTGTCCTAAGAGGAACTTCACAGAACTCGGGTTCAAATTTGCTTATCAAAAAGTCCTCCACAATGTTTTTGATTACATTATCAGGTCGAACCACAAAGGCATGATCTTTTTCCGGACCTCCACACCTGATCACTTCGAGAATGGAGAATGGTTCAGTGGTGGGTCATGTAGAAGAACAATGCCAGCAAAGGAAGGTGAGTTCAGGTTAAGTGATGTGAACAGAGTCCTCCACGAAGTCGAATTAGAGGAATTTGATGAGGCATCTGCTAAAGCTTCTGAAAACGCGGTAAACCTTAAACTTTTTGACGTAACTCCTCTTTCATTATTGAGACCGGATGGACACCCAGGTCCATATAGATTTTTTCATCCATTTGCTAAAGATAAGAATGCAAAAACGATAAATGACTGTCTGCACTGGTGTCTACCCGGCCCGATTGATTCTTGGAATGATCTGTTAATGGATATGGTGTTTTAACAGTTGAGAATATTGGATGGTGGATGACTATTTAATCCTCCACCTGTAATTGTAAATAATACAGCTCCTTTGTGTTCGAATTCTTGCTTTTGTCCTCGGCTAGTTCTTCGTATAAATTTTGTTACCAGTAGAAGAGTTAAAATCTGTTGCATTCACAATTATCAGTTTCATTGCGAGAAATATGTCTCTGAATTTGCATTCTATCCTGTATACTCCATGGGCTGACCACATTATTGTATTATTCTATCCTGTTTACTCCATGGCCTGGTGACCATGAAATGATGCTTTGTCATTAAATTTACTAGAAAATCTAATGGAATTACATTCATGGCATTGGTAAAAATCTTCAGGATGTCCTGAAAAGTGAAAACAAATGGATGTATTTGGTTTGTTGTTTTCAGATTTTAATTTTGCAAAACACCCAAATCTTGTTTAGTATGATATTTTTGAAAATGCATTTTCAAAAACAAGTTTACACTTATAACATGAAATTCAATATGTATTTTTGACTTTTTGAATGCTTTCAGTAAAAATTCTGAAAAAACTTGAAACATGGAAAATAAACGTTTAAATAAAATTTTATTTATCTAAAATTCTAAAAATTGAATTTTTTTTAAAAAAAAGTTCTAGAAAAATAAAAGTTGTATAAAAAAGTTAATGGTTATTTAAATAAAAAATTTTAAAAATATATAAATATTTTAACATAAAATTTTTTAGTCCATTTCATTAGTTTTTATTTAAAATTCGTACGTTTTCCCAACTCAATATACATATATTAGCAAAAAAAAAAAATTGTAAGATTTAATAATTTTAAAATATATCAAATACTTGATAATATATTAAAATAAATTATTCTATTTTATTGAATAATCAAATTTTATGGAATAAAATGTCATAAAGTAATTTCTTAAAGTTTCAAGTAAAACTTATTTTTTAGTTTTTTTTTTTTTATTATGAGAAATAGATTTTCAAAATGATAAATCAAACTTTTTTTAGCAATTTTAAAATAGAACTTCAAAATAGAAATGAAAATAAATCCAAAATTAAAAATTAAAATACAAACCAAATGAGCACTATTTTTCTATGTTGTAGAGATGTACAAAGAGAGGGTGTACGTCTTCCTTCTCCCTTTGATTTTATGTGTCGGTATCAAAAAAATATAGGAAAAGTAGTGTTTGAGTAGGTATTATATTTATCTAAAGGGTAATTAGCACATAACGTTCCCACCTTTCATTGTTAGTGTGGAAAACGTCAATACCTTTCATTTTTTTTCATTTTCACCCTTTATTGCTCAAAATGTCAGTTTCACATATTTTCTCAATTAAAAATTAAGAAATTACGAATATACTCATCTCTCTAAATAAAACAAAAACAAAAAAAATTAATTGCAATCACAGTCCCATTTAAAAAAAATGAAAATAAGTCACAAATAAATAATTAAAATGGTAATTAGTACATAATGTTCATATCTTTCACCGTTATTGCGAAAAAGTCTATACCTTTTAATTTTTTAGTATTTTTACCTTCAATTACACATTTGATTATGCAACTCATCATTTCTATTTATTTTCATCCAATTTTTCAATAAAGAATTGTGACATAATGAATATACCCTCCTATTTAGATTAAAAAATATTTTTTAATTTCTAATTCTTTAATAATTTAGTTGGGACTCGTTTGCATTTTTTAATTTTTTTAAATAAATTTAATTGGAACTCATTTGCACTTTTTTAAAAAAATTGGGAATATAATTGTAATTAATTCTTTAGTCTTTTATTTAAATAGGAGGGTATATTCTCCATTTTACAACTTTTATTGAGAAATTGGATGAAAATTGATAGAAATGATGGTTTGCACAATCAAATATGTAATTACGTGTGAAAATGCCAAAAAAATGAAAATTATGGACGTTTTTTACAATAACGGTGAAAGATAGGGACAATATGTATTATTACCCTTTTAATAATTTATTTGTAACTTAATTGTGCTTTTTAAAAAAAGTTGGGAAGGTGGTTGCAATTAATTTTTTCCTTTTTCATTTTGTTTTATATAAATAGAGGGGTATATTCGTCATTTCATAATTTTTAATTGAGAAAATAGGCGAAAATAACCTTTTGCGCAATGAAATGTGAAAATAAGGGTGAAAATGTCAAAAATGAAAAATATGAACGTTGTCTACGATAACAATGAAAGGTGGGGGCGTTGTGTGCTAATTACCTTTTATCTAAGATAAAAAGAGATCTAATTCGTTCTCTTTTTATGTTGAGATATTTCTAAGTTGAACTATTTAATTGGCAAGTATTTTTGGAGTTTTTATTAAATACAAGGAAGCAAATATTATGAATTGATTTGAGACATGAGTTTCAATTGATAATTAAAAAAAAAAAATTAGGGAAATGTAAATCAAATATTTCAAAAAGAAAGAATAATACCACTAGTTTTGTTTGATCTCCTTTTTTTGTTCAAGATTTATTTTGGAATAACATTTTGATGGAGAATGTGTGGTTAAAAAATAAAAAAAAATTTAGATTTACATATGATATTGTTTTATTGGAAATTTTAAGAAAAAAAATGTATTTTGAAAATAATGTAAAAGGGCTTAAAAGTTTTGACAACGGTCAAGTCAAAAGTCCTGCAGTGGAACTCAAATAACCATCCAATTCAGAACAGTAAATTCAAATTTGAAAAAATCCTACCGTTATGCCCTTCATCTTCTTCATATAAACCCTTGCCGCACAACAGATTAATCATTCAGGCATTACCACACACACACACACACTCTCTCTCTCTCTCTCTCTCACACACACACACACAATGGCTGCCATTGCCGAAACGCCAATTGTTGCAGACCCTGCACCCACAAAGAAAGGGAGATCAAAGAGGGCCCTAAAGCAGAAAAACCCTTCTTTAAATGAAGCCAACATAATGGCTGGAGCTGTTGTTGAACCTGCCCCCGTGGCAGCCCTGAATTCTTCTGGGAAAGAGAACCATGAGAGCCTCTCGCAGCCGAAGTCCCAGAAGAAAACGAAGAAAGGGGCATCAAAGGCAAAACAACAGTCATCAGAAGCGTTTTCTTTTGAGAAAGAATTGCAAGAAATGCAAGAAAAGCTCGAAAAGATGAAGATCGAGAAGGAGCAGACGGAGGAGCTTTTGAAGGTCAGAGAAGAGGCCTTGAAGCAGAAGGAAGAAGAGCAAGAGAAACTCAAGATAGAGTTCAAGAAATTGCAGAAAATTAAGGAGTTCAAGCCCAATATGGTTTATTCTCTATTCATTTTCTCCCCTTTTTCTTGTATTTCGTTGTCAATTATAATGAGGATTGTTTGTTCTTGTTAGACTTTCCCGGTCAGTTTCACGCTTAAAGATCTAGAACAAGAAAAGAAAGACAAGAAGAAGGGAGATTTTTCTAAGAAAAAGCCATCTCCTCCTTACGTGCTGTGGTGCAAAGATCAGTGGAATGAGGTATATATGGTGAATATAATTTCTTCAAGAAACTGAAATTGAATTGAATTAGTACTCTGTTTTCTCAATTTTTGTTGGGGTTTTGTCTTCCTCAGGTGAAAAAAGCTTATCCAGATGCTGATTTTAAGGAAATGGCGAATCTTTTGGGTTCAAAATGGAAGACGGTAAGTGCAGAAGAAAAGAAGCCTTATGAAGAGAGATATAGAGCTGAGAAAGAAGTCTACTTGAAGATAGTCGGGAATGAGAAACGAGATCACGAAGCTTTGAAACTCTTGGAGGAAGAGCAGAAACAGAAGACTGCCATGCATTTGCTTGAAGAATATCTTCAGTTCAAACAGGAAGCAGAAATAGAAAACAAGAAGAAGACAAAGTAAAATATTATGAATTTCCTGTTTCTCTTTACTTCAGTGTTTTCATTTGCTCATGTTGTTGATTATTTGGCACAGGAAAGTAAAAGATCCCCTGAAACCAAAGCAGCCAATGTCAGCATACTTCGTATTCGCAAATGAGCGACGAGCAATTCTTCTTTCCCAGAACAAGAATATCTTTGAGGTAAAAAAGAAAAGTACTTTACTCATCTCAGTTCGTCCTGATTTAGAGAACTGGGCTAATTGGAAAATTTTACGTGAAGGTTGCAAAGATCACAGGGGAGGAGTGGAAGAACTTGACCGAGGCACAGAGAGCACCGTATGAGCAAGTAATTGAACTATTTCATAGTTGAAATTTCTTCTGCAACTTCAAATTTTGAAGTATTTTTCATGGTGATTTACTCTGGGATTTTTCAGATGGCAATGAAGAACAAGGAACGATATGCGCAAGAAATGGAAGTATACAACCATAAGAAAGATGAAGAAGCAGCTAATTTGAAGAAGGAAGATGAAGAATTGATGAAGCTGCGAAAGCAAGAAGCTTTACAATTGCTCAAAAAGAAGGAGAAAACAGAAAATCTGATAAAGGTTGTTACAATTTCTGCTCAAAAATCGATTTTGTCAATTATTCTGAAACTCTATTAAATCAAATTCGCGATACTTAAAACAAGCAGAAAACAAAAGAAAACCGCCAAAAGAAGAAGAAAGATAAGGGAGAGAAGATTGTTGATCCCAACAAACCAAAGAAGCCGGCGTCGTCATTTCTTCTTTTCAGGTACAATTAGACCACAAGAGGCATCAGGGACTTCATTGTATGTAAAGTTCTTGATTACTGAAATGAGTTTCTACTGCAACATGCAGCAATGAGACGAAGAAGAATTTATCGGGAGAGAGGCCGGGAATCAACAACTCTACTCTAAACGCGCTCATATCCGTGAAGTGGAAGGTACCATTCAGCACTCGATAATAGCTAAGGCTTGTTGGTCTAATTTCTGATACATATTTTCTTGCTTAAATTGTGTAGGAATTGGGTGAACAAGAGAAGCAAATTTGGAAAGATAAAGCTGCAGAAGCAATGGAAGCGTACAAAAAAGAATTAGAAGCATACAACAAATCTGTTGTAGAGACTGAAAACAAAAACCAGAAGCAGTAAAAGAAGGCTGTTCAACAAATCTGTAGTACTGTTGAACATTTTTAAATTTCTAGGATTTTCATCACTGTAGAATGTTTTATTTCACAAACTTTGGAAGGAAAATCGGGACTGAAATGCCATGTTTTCTTCATTACACGTTGGTTCTGTTCTTAGAACAACAAATTTAGTCTTATAACTTGCTAAAATGTTGGACGGACAGACAGGTTAAGTGACAGTGGCATTACCTCTTAAATTCATAGTCCAATAAATTGAAAAATGTATCACAACTTTATTGAATAATGTTATCGAGAACTGGTGGCATTTAACACTAGTCTAATTAACACAATATAGGCTCATCTTAATTGTCAAATGAATAAAAATGCATTTCAACTCGAACAGGGAAGCTGGTTTTTGATGCTAAAAGAGTTCAAACTTTTTAGCAGTGATGTGTTTGATTGATTTGTGCGTGGAGTAAATCTTTACGTTGCGTCTGAAATATTTAGTGGTTAGAGAGGAGACGACCATACTCTCGTTAGGCACTCTACACGCTAGATTCAAGTTTCCATACAGATAGAAAACAAGAAATTTAGGAATTGAAGAAGATGACTTCTGTATATTAATCAACTCAATCAATTAAATTTACAGGGATGATTTCTGCTCTATTTATATACACGCAACAATACCCAGCTCTACAAAACAATTTCACCAACAGATTGTACAATGCAAGCAAATACACTAAGAATCAAATCCCTGAAATTGAGGATAGGTGGAGCTGCTGGGTGTGGATCCGTTTGGGTTGTTGTACTGTAGCATTCTTCCTCCTTCATCCACTGGTAAGGTAAAGTTGTATTAGTCCTTGCCTTCATATTTAGTGCATTTTGGTCCATAGATTTAACTTTTCCAATAGCCCCTCAAGCTGGAGATAATTTCTGTAACTCCAAGCTTGCTTCGTAGATACAGGTATCTCGAGTTGAATAGTGGTTTGGTAAGAATGTCAGCAACTTGATCGGCTGTCGGAATGTAGCTGATTACAAGTTGTTTGGCCAACACTTTATCACGGACAAAGTGCACGTCAAGTTCTATATGCTTAGTACGTGTGTGATAAACAAGGTTGGAAGCAAGAGCACTGGCTCCTAAGTTATCGCACCAGATTCTGGGATGTTAAGCTCATGTAATAGTGACTGAGTCCAAACGACTTCTGAGTAGTGTGGGCTAAGGTCCTATATTCGGCCTCGGTGCTAGAACTTGCAACAACCTGCTGTTTTTTTTAGCACCAAGAGATTAAGTTTCCACCAAGATACACACAATATCCTACTGTTGATTTCCTGTCATCTGGGCATGAAGCCCCATCCGCATCACCATAGACAACTATGTTGAAGTCTTATGTTTTCTGGATTATCAGTCCTAACTCGATTGTTCCTTTGATGTACCTGAACAATCATTTTAACAGATTCTAGTGTGCATCAGTAGGGCATTGAAGATATTGACTAATTCTATTTACAGCAAACGTGATATCTGGCCTAGTATGTGTAAGATATGGAGAGCCCCGACAACACTTCTGAAGAGAGTTGGGTTTTCTAGGCTTTGTCCTTTAGTTTTGGCAATTAGTTTTCCTGCTGCCATTGGTGTAACACTGGGTTTTAAATTCTCAAAACCAAACCTTTTGAAGGTATCAGCAGCATATCATTTTTGTGACATATGTAAGCCAATCTCATCTCTGTAAAATTCAATGCCCAGAAATTTCTTCAGAGTCCCCTTCTGTAACCTTACACTGCAGCTCCCTGTTACTATGATATCATCACCGTAGACTAGTAGATAGATAACAGATTCCTGGGTTACCTGATAGAAGACAGAGTTATCGGCCTTTGATTGCATAAGTTCCCAATTCAGCAGAGTTTCCTTTAGTGTATCATGTCATGCTCGAGGGGCTTGCTTAAGCCCATAGAGGGCCTTGCTGAGTTTGCATACAAATGAAGGTTTATCTTGATCAATAAAACCTTGAGGTTGTTCCATAAAACCCATTTCTTCCAATTTCCCATTGAGGAATGCATTATTTATATCAACTTGCCTTATTTCCCATCATTTTGAGCAGCAAGTGTTAGAATAATCTTTAGTGTAGGTGCCTTAGCTACTGGACTGAAAGTCTCGTAATAGTCAATGCCTGATGTTTGTAGGAAACCTTTTGCCACTAATCTAGCTTTATGCCTCAGAATCTCCCCATTTGCACCATGCTTCAACTTGTAAACCCACTTACAGCCTATTATTTTCATTTTTGGATCTGCAGGGACCAACTCCCATGTATTATTTCGATCAATGCTTCATACTCTTCATTCATAGCTTGACACCATTTTTCACTTCTTAGGGCCTCATGTACACTGACAGGTTCCACCTCGTCAATTGAACTCGTAATAATATCAGCATAAAGCTTTGGTTTAAAGATTCCTGCCTTAGACCTGGTTACCAAGGGTGTTCTGCTATCAATTCCTTTTCTGTTGTAGGAGATCCATCTCTTGTTTCACTATCATGTTCTGAAAGTTCAGGCTGAGAGTCAACTAATATATCATTTTGATCAGTTTCTTGTATCTGCTGATTACTTGACTCTACACCATTTTCAGTCACACTTTCATTTTCATTTCCAGCAAGGTGATCTTGTGCAGGTTCTTCTATAGAGTGAATTATTTCAGCTGATTCTGAGACGATTCTGTGAGAATTTAACTCAGGTAGATCTGTGGGTAATTTATAGGAACTGATTTAATAAGGCAGATAATAAAAGCTAGTAGAAGAGGATCTGTCTAAGGATATTTTGTTGAGAAATCCTTCTTTGAATGGAAATGAGTTTTCATAAAAAACGACGTGTCTTGAGATACAGATTCTACCGTTAGGACTTAAGCATTTAAACCCTTTGTGAGCTATACTAGGTCCTAGATAAACACATCTTTGTGAGTGGAAATCAAACTTATGCTTTTGATATGATCTAAAGCAAGGGTAGCATGAACATCCAAACACCTTAAGTAGTTGGTGATCAGTGTTGCGCTTGAATAAAAGTTCATAAGGTGATTTATGTTGAAGGATTGAACTAGGCATCCTATTAATGAGGTATGTAGCAGTTATGAAGGCTTCCCACCAATAATATAAAGGCATATACGCTTGGGATAACAGGGTCAGTCCTATCTCTGTGACATGTCTGTGCTTTCTCTCGACCCTACCATTCTGAGGAGATGTATGAGGGCAAGAGTACCTTAATTCGATTCCTGACTCTAAGGCTACTTTATTTAGACTTTTGTATTCTCCTCCCATATCTGATTGAACTGTTTTGATCTTTCTTTCAAACTGGTTTTCAACAAGTCTTTTAAACTGTATAAAATAATGAATTACTTCATTTTTATGTTTTAAGGGGTAGATCCAGGTGTACCTAGTACAGTCATCAACAAAGAGAACGTAATACTTAAAACCTGAGGTAGAACTAATCGGGGCTGGTCCCTAGACATCAGTATGAATTAGATCAAGTGGCATTTTGTCATGTAATGAAGATAATTTAAAAGGTAAGGCATGTGATTTACCAGACTGACATGCTTCACAGAAAGGGATTTTTTTTATTGCTAATAGACTTTAGTTTATTACAAGCTTTCAAAAAACTGAAGTAGTACAGAAGTAGGAGGATGGCCTAATCTTCTGTGCCAGATTTCAGCCTATGATTCTAAGATATTGCTCCTAGTAGAGTTTGCTGATTCAGAGAGATTTGTGCAAAGGGTGAACTGTGGTTTGTTTGGATGATGACTCATAGGACTTGTTTTGGTGATTCTTGAGTAATGACTGGGTAAGTTCAGCTGATACAATCCACCCTCAAGCTTCCCCTGCACTAGAGCCTTCCTTGTTGATAGGTCCTTCACAATACAATTGTTAGGATAAAATTCAACAGATACATTAATATCAGAGGTAAGTATGGAGATATTGATTAGATTCTTTCTTATTTTAGGCACATGCAATTATCAGAGGTAAGTTTGGAGATATTGATAAGATTCTTTCTTATTTTAGGCACATGCAGTAATTTTTTCAAGATAAGTGTCTTCCCAGTTTCTATATCAAAGGTTTTTGAACCAATATGAGAAATTCGCAATGATGTTCCATTACCAACAATCATTTTTTCCTTACCTCCATATTCTCTTGCTTTAGCAACGTTTTCCTTGTCAGTGGTTACATGATGGCTAGCTCCAGAGTTAGCGTACCAGGCTTGGTCCTCTATTGAGCTTGGATTTGCAATGTAGGCAGATGGGCGAAAGTTGATGATCTGATCACTTGGCCTTTTTCCCATAAATTTCTCGTTAAATCTATTGTAGCACCACGCAGCAGTGTGGTTGCTCAAACCACATATCTAACAAGGGTTTCGTGCTTCACTTGATCTCTCAAATCTACCTCTCCCTCTGGTTCTTCCTCTGAGGTTAGCACCTCTGATACCTCTATTTCCTCTTCCACTATATGTACTTGTGCTGTGTGAGTTCCCTTGAGTGAGATTGATTGAACCAAAGCTATTTCTAACTTGACTGAGTATTCTAACTTGCTGTCAAATGTCATGAGTGTGGAAGATAACTCATGCCGGGAAATCTGATCCTTGCTGTTGATTTGTACAACGATTGGAGTATATTCTTCATCAAGTCCAGCCAAGACTTGAGTTATAAGATCAGTATGCTCTATCTTCTTTCCTGCTATTTCCAGATTATCAGCAAGTTGTTTAATAGTGTTGAGGTAATAGTCCATAGACATGGACCCTTTTCTAGTTCTCTGTAACTCAGATGTGAGAAAGGTCACTCTGGACCTATTGAGAATCCCATAATTCTCATTTATGACTCTCCAAAGCTCACTTGAGCTATTGCATCCCATTACACGCATCACAATTTCAGATGTCATTGAGGAGTATAGCCACCCCATTAGTAGTTGGTCAATAGACATCCATCTAGAATACTTAGAATTAAGAGATGTTCTAACAACGACTCCACCTTCAGTCGTGATCTGAGTGTCAACAG